GCCATCCAGGACGCCGCCATGCAACCCTGGCAGCCCCTGGGCGTCAAGTCCATCCTGGGCTACAACCTCAAGAAGACCATCGGCCGGCAGCACCGGCAGCTCTGCCGGCGCATGCTCACCCCCGAGCTCCAGTACCTGCAGGAGCTGGGGGCCGATCTCTGGATCACCAACTTGTGGAAACTGCTCCGGGACTTTCTACATTGGTGATGCCATTTCCCTCCCCCACCCCACCTCCCAATCCCCTCCTCCAGTTCCTCCCCTCACACTTCCTCCCCCCCACCCCGGCCCTCCTGGTGCCACCCTGGATGGACCCCAGGGTGTTGGTGGGGTCTGGGGTGTACAGACAGGGCTGACATCACTACTTGACTAATGACACCATTGTTTAAAAAAAAAAACAAAAACAAAAACAAAAAAACCCTGGCCTTCTGTTTCCGGCTTTCCCTCCAAAGGGGAGGCTCAAGTAAAGGAATTTCATGCTGTGGTTTTTTTTTTTTTTTTCCCCTTAGTGTCAGTATGGTAACTGCAGGGCCCCTGGCATGGGGTGGGGGTCACCTGTCCACCCCCAGAAAACACCTGTGGGTTCCCCCTTTCCGGGAGTTGTTGGGGCAACTGGTGTTAGTTCAGGGTGACCTTCTGAGATCTGGAAAATCACTGGTGGTGGGGGAGAGCGCGTGCCCATGTGCACATGATGTTCATTCCACAGCTCACGGTTCCCTGCCTGGCACCAGGCTAAATGGTCTATGGGCAATAACTCAGCTCACCTTTACCCAAGCTCAGCCACTGGGGACTGAGGTGTGAAAGAAGCTCAGAGAGAACAGTTCACCAGGCCAGGCTTACACAGCAGGGCAATTAAGTGATGGGTCCTGAACAGAGGCCTGATGGGCAGCCTCCCCGTCAGAGGAGAGGAATGGGGCCATTTGTGCCTCCCGTGGTGGCTAGCTTCTTACAATTGCTGTCTTGATTCCAAGGCATCAATCTGAGCTCTTTCACTCAAAGCTAATACTCTCCCACTTTGAGCCACAACACCACTTCCGGTTTTCTGGTGGTTCATTGGAGATGAGAGTCTCCAGTGCTTTCCTGCCTGGGTTGGCTTTGAACTGCAATCCTCAGATCTCAGCTTCCTGAATCTAGTTGCAGGCATGAGTCACCAGCACCTAGCTGATTCTTCTTTTTATACTTTATAGCTCATACTTGCACCACCATGCCCAGCTTTTATTTTCTTTAATAGTTAAGAAGAGGGTCTTGAGATCTTTTTCCCAGGGTGGCCTCAAACTGTGATCCTCCTTAGCTTCATCTCCTGAGTAGCTTGGATTATAGGTATGAGCTACTGCACTCCTCCTCCTCTTTGTCCTTCTTTTCCTTTTCCTCCTTGTCTTTCTTCTCCTTCTTGAGATAGAATCATCCTTTTTGCCTGGGCTAGCCTCCAACCTGAATCCTCTCTCTTCCTCCCAAGTTGCTAAGATTAAAAGGTATGGATCCAGTACTTCCATCCCTTAACTTTCACTTGAATACCTTTTGATGCCCTCTGAGTCTTGCTCAGATATTATCAACTTCTAAAGATCTCTGGGGGGGGGGGGGAGAAAGCCCTTGTGTGGGAGCTGGGAGTGTGAGTTCTGCAGGTCACTGTGTGACAGCAAGGTGACAGCACATCTGTTAATGGGGTGCTGTCACGAGGTTTGCAAAAGGCCCCTAAGGTGGCTATGGTGATACTGATACTGGGTGCTGTTCAAGGCTATTTGAAGGGCACCCATTGCACTCTCCCACCCCCATGCCCTCCCCTGGGGGAACATATCTGAAGCTTGCCTTCCAGTCTGGCTGGTGAAACGGAGGTAACCCCCTTGGCTGGTGGGTGGCTCTCTAGGTACTGGCTGGTAAGTCGTGGGCTGGTGTGTGTGTGTGGAGGGAGACAGAGCATTGTGGACACCTAAGCATTACCGAGAAGAGGGCAGGGTGCAGGCTACATGCCAGCGCCTATCTACAGGAAAGGGTGCACCATCTTGCTTCTAGCCTTGGTTTCCAACCCCTCTGGGAATGCATCCATTTGATGGCTAAGACTAAGATCCTCCTGATTTCACCTCACCCTCTCACAGTAGCTAGGATTACAGCTGGTGCCAGTGAACGGAAGCTGGACCACCTGTCTAAGACTTCACTAAGCCATCTGTGAAATGGATGTCACAAATCAATGAGGTGAGTAAGTGGAATTGTGGCTGTGTTCATGAATGTGCCGTCCACATTCATGAGGGGATGGTGTTTGTCTGATCTGGGGTGAACAGCCTGCCGGGTCTGCTGACAGTAAGCCCAGGCGTGGCTTCTCCCCAGCCTGGCTATTAGTGGAGTTGTCTGCCTTGAACTTGGACATAACTGAGGCAGTCAGGTCTACAGATTGCTTCCACGATACAAATATAATTGGTTCCAGAAATACAAAGGTAGGGGGCTGGGAAGGTGGCTCAGTGGCAGAATGCTTGCCTTGCATGCACAAGGCCCTGGGTTTGGTTCCTCAGCACCACATAAGCAGAAAAAGCGCTGTGGCTCAAGTGGTAGAGTGCTAGCCTTGAACTGAAGAGCTGAGGCACAGTGCTCAGGCCCAGAGTTCAGGCCCCACGACCGACAAAAGAAAAGAAAAGAAAAAGAAAAGGATAGAGGTAGAAAAGATAACTACAGTGATAGGAAATGGGTTTGATGTCTTTGGATCTCCTCTCTTGCCTGACCTCCCCACCTGAGCCAGAACAAGTGCTTGGCAGAGAACCAGCCACTTTCCCCATCCTGGGTGTAGGCTGATGTGTGGCCAAAGGGGGGGCGGGAGGGAAGGAGAGAGAGAGAGAGTGTGTGTGTGCCAGTCCTGGGGCTTAAAGTGTGTTTTTTTTTCCTTCTGTTTCTCATGGTGGGTACTCTACCACTTGAGCCACACCTCTACTTCTGGCTTTCTTGGCAGCTCATTGGAGATAAGAGTTTCATGGACTTTTCTACCCAGGTTGGCTTTGAACCACAATCAGCCTCCTGAGTAGCTAGGATGACAAGTGGGAGCCACCAGCGTCCAGCCAGCTGCAAAGTTATCAAGGTTTGATTTTTTTAAAACCATGTTTTGTCGATTATATACCCGTTATGCCACACTGTGTGCAGAGAAGCAGAGTGGAGGAGATCAAGGGTACCTGGAGCCCTGCTGGAGGTCTGGGGACTTCCTTCCAGTCAGACTGCCTTCCCCTCCTAAGCACTCCTTTTTTTTTGAGGGGGAGTGTCAGCTTAGGAAAGGTACATTGCATACCCCGAGAGTCTCTACTTTGGGCAAAGAAGAAGACAGAAAGGCTGAGTTGAATTTCAGATGATGAATCATTTTTTTCTATAAAGACATGACCACTTACCCCATTTTGTATTTTTGCTTTACTTTGTTTCTCAGATAGGGTCTTGTGCTTTTCCACAGGACTGGCCTCAGCCCCAGATCCTCCCTCATAGCTGGTATGCTGGAGAGCACTCAGTTTTCCATCAGGGGAGGTGGAAATCCATCCCTGTGCCCATGAGTGCATGCTCCCAGCTGCGTTCAAGTCAGGAATCACGGTCCCCCCACAGATCAGCTCGGACGCAGGGGGCTCAGGCCTCAGCCCATCCCCCTCCAGGTACCTGCCAAGTCCCCTGGTTCCCGCTCATCTCCTTTCTCTGGTGTCATCTGGCTCTTCTTGGCAAGAGTCATGATAGGACCTGAACTTGAGCCAACGTCTCTGTATCCCCAACTGGAGCAGAATGTTGAGAAGGAAACCCTGGAGTCCTGAGCTCTCCTTTTGTCATCCAGGATTATGAAGGTCACGTGTTTTGCCACCCAGATACCACCTGAGCCAGGGATATGGTGCCGTGTGGAGATGCACAAGCCCCACCCAGCCCTGCAGTGAGTCTCTTTAGCCCAACTGTGTAACCGTGGTGGCTCTCTCTTCCCTCCTCTACCTACAAACAGAGACTGGGATGCAGGGTAGATGCTTCTACTGGAGGATAGAGAACACATACATTATTCCTGGCCCTCTTCTTTGCCACAGTAGGGCCTTGACAGGTGGTATTCTGGAACATTTCCGAGCAATATCTCTAGAAGGCATGAGACACATAAGCAACTTGGGTCTGGGGTCAGCTACTTAAGAGCTATATAATGTTGAATGAGTGGTTTCACCTCCCCATGCCTCAGTTTCCCTATTCATACAGCAGGTGAGACACATGACAAATCACTCCACTGGGTACCCTCAGCACCAGGACTGCCACACGGAGAACACTCACAAAATCATACGTGTAATGGTGATGATCTTTTGTGGGTTTTTTTTATTATGTCAAGCTATAAGCTGGAGTCAGATGTGACATCAACTGCCAGGAAGGAATATCCCTTTAATTGCTTAAGACAGGAGACTTGAGCTAAAGGGAGGAGGTGAGCATGGGAGAGATGGAGGGGAGAAACAGGCCGCCCCAGGTTAAATAAGGCATCTCCTAATGTCTTTCCAAATCCTGCCTTCCATCCGGTCTCCGGGACAATCTCACCCCACCTGCCCGCTTCTGCTCTGTCCAAGGTGCTGAAATAGGCCCCGATTGCGGGCTCCTCTCTCATTTTCCTTCCAACTCTAGACATCGTAGTAGACATCAGGTAGACAATAAAAGTAGAAGTAAGTTGTTTTGTGTTTTCTGTGGGGTTTTTCTTTCTTTCTTTCTCTCTGCAGTTGGTTCACTTTTATTTTGTGACTAAAAGGAACTCTCCAACACAGGTTGCTCGCAGCTTGTTGACAAGGAATTAATGAAGCACACACGCATGCTTTAGGATATAGGCTAGGACTAAAGCAAGGACACCCATTTTCCACTTCTGTGCCTTTAGTGACCACCACCACTGGTCTTTGTTCTTTCTGCTTCCTCTTCCCCAACTCCAGTACCCTTCCGATCTGACCACCCCACATGAATCTCCCCAGGAGTAGCATGAGCATAGGCAAAACTAATGATGAACACGGTAGGGTATACCAGAGAACAGGTATGTAAGGGGGGGGGGTCTCTGAGATGTAGGGGTGCCACCTAGATAGGGGTGAGTTCCTCATCGTACTTCTGCATGCCCTCATCCGGAAGCAGCACCTCAACTGTGAAGCTGACCTTCTTGGCATGGACGAAGCTGTAGGTGTTGTCAAAGCGCAGGACATCTGGGAGGCAGATGGAGAGATGGGGTGGCTGGCTGGCTTCACACTCTGCACTGCCCCCCCCCCCCGCCCCCGCCCCAGGCTGGGGGCGGTTCTCGGGCTTGGGTTCCCACAGCCTTTGTTTGCCAAGCTGGTTCAGGTTCCCACCACACCCTTGTCCTTCCCCAAGGGAATGGTTACCCCCAGCTGAGCTCGTAAACAAACCCTGAGGTCCTCCTGCCCTGGCCCAGCAGGAACTTCCATGGCATCAACTGACCAAAGAACAATAGGACTTAATCCCATTGTCTCCACACCTGGGCTCTCTCAGTTCAAGGAGGACAGATGGGGACCTAGAGGTGTCTCAGATCCTTTGGACCAAATGAGCGCTGGGGCTGCTAACCACCTCTGGCCTCTCAGCACCATCCCAAAGAATAAGAGTCGCAGATGGAGTATAAACCAAGGTTCATTTGGAACACAAGGCTTCATGCTTGTTTGTGAGGTGTTCTGCCACTTGAGCCACACTCCCATCTCTTTTTTACTTTAGTTGTTTTTGTTTGTGTTTGTTTATTTTGGAGGGGGGATAGGGTTTGCAATTTTGCTCATTGCTGACCTTGGACCACAACTCTCCTAGCTCTGTCTCCCACAGAGCTGGGATGACAGGCATTATTCTCCCCCACCTGATTTACCTGTTGAGATGAGATCTAGCTAGCTGAGTTTTTGCATGGTGTGATATTGATCCAAAACCTTCCCAAGCTTCACCTCCCAAGTATCTGGGATTACAAGTGTGAGCTACACACACACACACACACACACACAAGTATCCCTCCTGAGATAGGTCAGAATTTTCCCCAGCATTATGCATCTATATGGAGATGGTGATAAGACTCCAGCCTCACACTTAGTTTTGGGGTTCTGCTTAAATAGACTCATTTTTCGGGGTTCCAGTTTCCTGCTCTGTTGCTCCTTGCTTGTGACCTATGGCCTCAGCTTCTCATCCCCTTTCAAGGTCCATGTATCTCTGGTTCATTGTGCAGAGTAGTTGTTAGTGAAAGTGACCTGAGTGTGAATAAATGTCTGGCACCAACGTGAGTTGTGTGTGTGCGCGCACATGCGCACATGTGTGATGCTTATTTCTTTCTCTAAACCATGACTCCTGGAGTACACCCAGCCCAGACAGACTTACAGACACCAGCCTCAGCACAGGTGAGGCTCCCATCCTCAGGCACCATGTGGGCATTGTAGCGCTGGCTGGCCAGCACCTCTGTCATCTCTGCAGCCTTCTGCCGCTCGCCCATCTTGGTCTTCAGGAAAACCCCGAAGCCGATGTCTGCCCCATCGGAGGCGAACTGCCACCTACGAGGGCACCATCAGGCTGCTGCCCAGCCCAGTGTGTTGGGCAAGGGCCAGGCAGGGGGTAGGAGGCGGCCCTGCCCACCTAAGGACGCAGCCTGGAAACAGGATCTCATATTCCACCTGGTGCGAGGAGCCCCGGCTGATCTGCACCGAGTGCTCATATTGCGTCTTCACCTGGTCCCGCACGTACATGGACTTGGGGATCTCCCCACCATAGTTGATCTGTGGGTGTGAGATAGGGGTGGGAGCTGCCTCCCATCTCCAGGAAGATTGCAGCCCCTCACTCTTGCCCCAAAGCCTTCCCTGACCCTCCAGGCCTTAGATTCCCAGCCCATCCCTTTGGGACAAAATCCCCTATTTATTTATTTGTGTATTTACTTACTTCCCTCCCTCCCTTCCTCCTCCCTTTCTCTCTTTCTTCTTCCCTCCCTTCCTCCCTCCCTCCCTTCTTTTCTTTTGTGTTGGTCCTGAGGCTTGAACACTGTCCCTGAGCTCTTCAGCTCAAGGCAAGCGCTCTACCACTTAAGCCACAGTGCCACACCCAGCCAAGTCCCCCATTTCTTATCTCCCTGCACAGTGGCTCAGAGCTGCCTACCACCACCATCAGAGCAGGGCCTGCACCAGCCAGCTTAATGCCTCACCTCTGCACATGGGGATCTATCTATGAGAGTGGAAGGAAGGAGTGAGTAGGAAAGACACCATTTGCACTCTCCAATCCTCCCCCATTGTAGGGCTCTTTGTACCTTGGTTAAACACTTGGGGTTTCCATCCGGGTCAGTCAGAGTTCCCCCAAAATGGGCAGGCAACTCCTCAGGACTGATGAGCTTCAGCAAGCCTTCTTTCCAGCATTCTGGAGCAGAGAGATTGGGAGGGTGGTCTCTAACATGGAAGGTACTAACTAGCCTCCCGCACCCATGGGGTCGCCCTAAACTTGCTTTCCCAGCTCTGTGGGAGCTAGGTCGCCAGGGCCAAGTTCCCAGCCTCACAGGCCTTCTCTGTACAAAGTGTCGTTCTCATCATGGTGTTGCTATGGAAACATTTCCCCTTGGTGGATGGATTTCAATATTCTTTTTCTCTTTCTTTCTTGTTTTGTGCTGGTACTGTGGTTCGAACTCAGGGTGAATGCTATCCCTTAGCTTTTTCTACTCAAGGCTGGTGCTCTACTGCTTGAGCCACAGCTCCACTTCCAGGTTTTCTGTGGGGTTTTTTGGTGGTTAATTGGAGATAAGAATCCCATAGACTCTCTGCTTGGGCTGGCTTTGAACTGCCATCCTCAAGATCTCAGCTTCTGGGGTAGCTAGGATTACAGGTGAAAACCACCGATGCTCCCAGCATGTGCTCCATTCTGAGTGGAATGATGACTCAACCTCATTCAAAACTGATACAGAGAACAGCACGGGAGCTACTCACTTCCCAGCACTACGATTTTCCTGCGCGTATCTTCACTCAGGAAGGGCTTCATGAGGTTGTAACCCACAGGAAACAGTTTGGTGGCTGGAGAGACATAAAGAAGGATAACGAGGCAAAAAGGAGTCTATTGAGCCACTCTTTCCATAATGGCCACCATCAATAATACAGAAGAGTCATGTTGAATCATAGCCAGTTCCAGGGTCCTGCTCTTGGGAAACCACCTGGCCAACAAACTGCCAACCCAATCTTCCAATCCATAAGCTACCCACTCCCACAGCAAATGAGCCCAAAATACCCCACCTCCCAATAAGCAAGTCATTTAGTTAACAAATAAACTGCCAAACCTACCAACAGTGTGCCAATACACCTAATCCTCCATTATTATTCCAATCCTGCTAAACCACCATTGAACAAATCAACCAAATACAAACCTCACAGCCAGCTACCCAGCCATCTGCTGTCTCTGACTAACCAAATCTTCTCACACTAGCTAGCCAAAAAATCCATGTACCAAGTGAACCATCCAAACAACCAATCAACTGAAGTTCCAACCAGCCACTCCATCAATCAACCATGATAAAAACTGGTCACACACCCAACTGGCCATCCAGCTTTCTGACCAATCACCACTAGCCAGTCAACCATCCAATGTACAGCGGTCCTTCAATTGGCCCACCTTCTCAAATAACAACCATCCAGCTATCTAATGAATAGTCAACTTTTAGGCCAGGCCTGTAAAATAGAGTCTGCCTTTGGTTAGAAAAGTAGGATAGCCGGGTGCTAGTAGCTCTCACGTCTGAAATCTTAACTACCCAGAAGGCCAGGATCTGAGGATCAAATTTCAAAGCCAACCTAAACAGGAAAGTCCATGAGACTCTTATCTCCAATAAACTACTCAGAAAAAGCCAGAAGTGGTGCTGTGGCTCAAGTGATAGAGTGCTACTCTTTTTTTTTTTTTTTGGGGTCCGGTCATGGGGCCTGAACTCTGGGCCTGGGCGCTGTCCCTCAGCTCTTCAGCTCAAGGCTAGCACTCTACCACTTGAGCCACAGCGCCACTTCCGGTTTTTTTCTTTTTGCTTATGTGGTGCTGGGAATTGAACCCAGGGCCTCAGGCATACAAGGCAAGCACTCTACCACTGAGCCACCTTCCCAGCCCCTAGAGTGCTACTCTTGAGTACAAAGAGGTTCAGGGGTAGTGCCCAGGCCTTAAGACTGACCACCCCGAAAGAAAGAAAGAAAGAAAGAAAGAAAGAAAGAAAGAAAGAAAGAAAGAAAGAAAGAAAGAAAGAAAGAAAGAAAGAAAGAAAGAAAGAAAGAAAGAAAGAAGGAAAGAAGGAAAGAAAGAAAGAAGGAAAGAAAGAAAGAAGGAAGGAAAGAAAGAAAGAAAGAAAGAAAGAAAGAAAGAAAGAAAGAAAGAAAGAAAGAAAGAAAAGAAAGAAAGGAAGGAAGAAAGGAAGGAAGGAAGGAAGGAAGGAAGGAAGGAAGGAAGAGAGAAAGAGAGAGAGAGAGAAAGAGAGAGAGAAAGAAAGGAAGGAAGGAAGGAAGGAAGGAAGGAAGGAAGGAAGGAAGGAAGGAAGGAAGGAAGGAAGGAAAAAAGAAAAGTAGGAGGAACACACACACACACACACACACACACACACACACACACACACACACACACACAGATGATGATGAAGGTTGGGCTTCTGGTGTGAGAGGCATCCTGAGAGACTCATGCAAAGCTAGGGTTAGAGTTGCCTCTTCTTACATCAAGACCAACCCTAGATATTGTCATTTTTCTGAGCACTTCCTCTATGCTAGATGTCAAGTGAGTGGCAGATAAGCAAGCAATCAGCCCAGGGATGGAGGCACTATTACTGCTCCGACAGTGCAGATGAGGAAATGGGGCCAAGGGGAAGGAAGTTACTCCTCACACACCTTTCACGATGAGCATGAACTTCAGGGTCTCTGGGTAATTCTCTTCAAGGAGGGCAAAGAACTGTGGAAGGAAAGAAGAGACATCAGAGTTTCTATCTCCTTTTCTCCAGCCCCTTATCTCCTAAGTGGAAGGTCTTTCCATTTTGCCATTACCTCTGCTGGCCTCTAAAAGATCTATCACCTCATCATTTTAGAGTAAATGTTACAGGAACATTAGTATAATAATGGTGATGGCTACCATTTTTTAAAAATGTGTGCATGTCTATACTGGGGCTTGAACTTGGTCCTGGGTGCTATCTCTTAGCTTTTTCAATTAAGGTTAGTGCTCTACCACTTGAGCCACAGTTACACTTCTGGCTTTCTGATGGTTAATAAGAGATAAGAGTCTCCCAGATTTTCCTGCCTGGGCTGGCTTCAAACCACGATTCTGCGATCTCAGCTTCCTTGAGTATCTTAGGATTATAGGCGTGACTACCATTTTTTTAGAAGTTCACTGTTTGCCAAGCACTGTGTATATATTTGGCATAAAAACTCATGGCAACATCCGGGTATTACTTTTCCCGTTCTCTCCTCATTACTGAACCATGGGGAGGGGAGCTGACTTGATGGAGTCTTAGGGTTTGGAGTGACAGGGCTGGGACAGGCCTGGTGGAAACTGGTCCCTAGGATCTCTGTGTAGTGTTGTTCTTTGGTATCTTTGGGGGACATGTTAGAGGCCTGTGGTGGGTGTAGCAAGGCATCTATCTTTCATTCATTTTGGGTTTGAGGTGAACATCTAGGACACAGTAGTTGTTCAAGCGTGTGTGTGTGTGTGTGTGTGTGTGTGTGTGTGTGTGTGTGTGTGTGTGTACCCATGAGCCTTCTCCTCACCTCCTGGTACACTTCCACCAGAGGTTTCCAGAAGTGCTTCAGTCCCAAGCCCTCGCAGTCAAATATCATCACGATGGTTTCGATCTTCCTCCCTAGCTATGAGAATGAGCAAGGAGCAAGTTACTGGTTCAGGGTACGGTCCTAGGAGATGAGGACTCAAGTGTATAACTCATCATGGCTTCTTCCAGCCTCCTTTCTGTCCTCAGAACATCAAGAGGGAAAGGGTGAGTGCATTTCCTGACTCGTTCATCCATTTATCATCCACCCTGCCATCCTTCGATTCACCCACCATTACACTAATTATCTATCTATCTACCTACCTACCTACCTACCTACCTACCTACCTATTATCAATCCATCTATCCACCATTCACCTACTTGCACATTGATTTTTGTCATAAATCATCTATTTATCCATCCATCACCCACCCACCCATCCTTCCATTCACCCACACATACATTAATTCTTTTCTCCACCCATCCACCTATCATTCACCCATTCATCCACCATCTACCTACCATTCACCTATTTGTACATTACTTTTTTCAATCCAGCTATCATTTACTTATCCATCCATCTATCCATCCAGTACCCACTCATCCATCCTTCCATTCACCCAACCATATATTAATTTTCTCTCTATCCATCATCTACCCATCCACCTACCTACCTATCATCCACCTACCCATCTACCATCCACACACCATTCATTCATTCATTCACGTACTTATCCGGCCTTCCATTCACCCACCTGTACATTAATCCTTCTATCCATCACTCATCTGTCCATCCACCCATCCATCTTCCCACTCCTCACTCACCCACCCATTTGTCAATTCCATCATTAATCCATTCTGTTTGTATTGACATTTATTCATCCCTCCATCTGTCAAATAGTTGTTCAGTAAGCATATATTTTATGCCAGACACTAAGAGGATAATGAATAATGTGCTTAATAACCCATAGCGAATAACCCATAATGCTGGTCCTCAGAGTTTCTAGTCTGGTTGAGGAGATGAGAGATGACCAAAGCTGCTCTGGCACAGAGGAGCCTTCAATCCCATGGGCACCTTGGAGGTGGATGAGGTTAGGTTTGGGATATTCACCATAAAGAAGGGAGGGCTGAGGGGAGCTCTGGGAGGTATGTCTTGTGTAGTGGTTGAAGGTGGTGCTCAGGTTATCCAGGCAGGAGGGACAGCAAGAGCAAAGACTCAAAGCAATGGCAGGAGTTACTATGCTGAGAATTCATTGGGGGAACACATAATATTGTTGTGTATTCAATCTTTGCACCAAGCCATATACAGATGGTCCCTCGCTTAAAATGATTCAAATTAATGATGTTTTAACATTGTGATAGATCAGAAGCAATACCTATCAATAAATAGAAATGACACTCTGTGTGTGTGTGTGTGTGTGTGTGTGTGTGTGTGTGTGCGTGTGCGTGCCCGTGCAGGCGCGCAACAACACTGGGGCTTGAACTCAGGACCTGGGCACTGTCCCTAAGCTAGCCCTTTACCACTTGAGCCACAGCTCCATTTCCAACCGTTTTGGTAGCTAATTGGAGATAAGTCTTACTGACTTCCCTTTCAGGGCTGGCCTTGAACCTCAATCCTCAGATTTCCTGAGTAGCTAGGATTACAGGCACGAGCCACCAGCTAGGTGCATACAATATTCTTCTACCATGTTCTGAGCATGTTAAAGGTAGGCCAGGCCAAGCTATGACCTTCAATAAATCAGGAGAATTAAATGCAATCCCGACTTAAAAGTTGAGGCATCTACCTGCACCTCTCATCAATTCTTTGCAAAGTATTTTTGCTTTGAAGTGAGGAGGCTCAGATGGGGAGAAACAACTTGCCAAGGCCACTAAATAGAAGAGCTGGCATTTGGTCCGAGAGCCCCTTTGGCTGTGGTACAGGGCACACGGGTGTGTCCTTGGGCCCACTTTGTGCCCAGCTTCCCGGCCACCTCTTCGGAGCCTCACCCGCTCTGTCTGCAGGTCGCACTCATGCAGGATACGCTCACAATCTCTCATCTTGGTCTTGAGCAGGTCCTGCTTGGTGACTGAGAAGAGCAAGCCCTTGGGGTCTAGTGGCCCAATGATGTCGTACCACACAGGGCAGCCATCACGGTCGTAGCCACACAGGCCCCCAGGCATGTACTTCTGGATCACCTGGGTGAGGAAAAATACATAGGTCACCCTTCTCCCGAGACCCCCGCACCTGGCTTAATCTGGAGAAGGCCCAAGCCCTCCACCATAGAGGGCAGTTGAATGCAGTGCTGGAGAACGTGGAGTCTGAATGTCAACAGATCTGGTTCCAATATAGACATTGCTGTTTCTCTGCTGTGTGTCCCAGAGCACCAAGCATTGCATTCCTCCACCCCCCACCCCGCCGCGTGGTAGTCCACCTCTTCTTTTATGAAATGATTTACAGAATCCCTCTTTCTCAGGACTTGGGGGGGAAAGTCCCTAAGATAATGTGGACAAAACACAATGTCAATCCCAGAGTATGTGGTTTTTTTTTTTGGGGGGGGGGCTCACCTCTGGGGGCTGCCAATCAAGGATGTGGTCAATGTCCATGGCCTTACGGAACTCCATGTACTAAAAAGAAAAAGAAGCCAGAGAACCGGTGGCTCACGCCTGTAATCCTAACTACTCAGGAGCCTGAGATTTGAGGATGGTAGTTCAAAGCCAGCCTGAGCAGGAAAGTCTGTGAGACTCTTATCTCCAATGAACCACCAGAAAACCAGAAGTGGAGCTGTGGCTCAAAGTGGTAGAGCGCTCGCCTTGAGTGAAGAAGCTCAGGGACAGCGCCCAGGCCCCAAGTTAAAAAAAAAAAAAGTCACAAGTCCTACTGGGCTCCCAGAAGTGTAAGAGGGGAAAAGCAGGGGCCAGACCCAGCCATCCTCTCCTACCACATTGGGGTGGGTGGTCTTACCTTGCGGAGCATGGCTTCCGACTTCTGCAGGTCAAAACTCCGAGCTATGGGATAGTGGAGGAGATGTGTATGAGATGGGGGAGGACCATCTTGCTCACCTACTTCTAAACAGTGGAAACTATGCAGACACCCGGGCAGCCTGGGCAGGGACCCCCACCCCTTCCCCGGCTCCTAGACCCAAGCAGGGGAAGCAAGAGTGTGGACAGATCCTGAGAGCCACAGGTCCTGCTGGAGCTGCAGGGACCTACTCCTGCCCACTGCCCTCCCCGCTCATTCTGACTGCCACCACCTCTGCCCTCACCTCGGAGCCAGCGGAGAAGGAAGTAATCGTCAGGGTTGGGCAGGGCAGGCAACACATCCTGGACATTTTCTCGGAACTGAGAAGAAAGATGTTGGTTAAGAGGGTCCTTTCACCACCCATAGTCCTGGCTTCCAAACTCAGGGGCTGCTTCTCTCCTCCTTCCCTTCCATGTTGATGGGTCTTTGGATAGGGAGGGAGGAAGGGAGGGAGAGATGGAGGGAGAAAAAGGAGGGTGGATGGAGTACATGGACAGAAAGCAGAATGGAAGGATGAATGAGTAGATGAATGGCCAGAAAGAAAAGATGTCCATGGATAGATGCATAGATAGATGGATGGAAAGATGGATGAATGGATAGACAGCAGACAGATGGATGGATGACAGACAAATAATAGGTGGCTGAATGGAGAGACAAATGGATGGATGGACAGGACAGATGGATGGGCAGATGGAGGGATGACAGATGGATGAATATATAGATGGATGGATAGATGGGTGGATAAATGGACAGATGGATGGATGATGGCAGATGGATGGATGAGTGGATGGATGGATGGATGGATGGATATAAATGTAGGTGAATGGGTGGAAGGCGAGATGGGAAGGTGCATAGGACAGAGTGGAGAGGATAGATGGATGGGTGGATGGAAGGATGGATGGGGATGGATGGATGGGTGGATGGATGGATGGATGGATGGGTGGCTGGGTGGATGGATGGGTGGGTGGGTGGGTGGATGGGTAGATGGATGGATGGATGGATGGAGGGAGGGATGGATGGATGGATGGGTGGGTGGGTGGGTGGGTGGATGGATGGGTGGATGGGTGGCTGGAAAGATGGATGGAGGATGGATGAACGGATAAATGTTTAGTGGGTAAGTGGATTGCAATGTGGAGATATTCTAAGTTTCTTCCATGCCTTCACCAACCAAGACCTCTGCCTTTCTTCCCTCCATCTTATACAAAAACAGTGCTTGCAGGCTCTCACAGATTGCTCACTTTTTCAGGGTTCCAGGGAGCAAGGGGCAGTGAAAGCAAGCTGGCAGCATCCTTGGGATTCCACTGACGGGGCTGGGATGGGGAAGGGAGGAGCACTGCGGCCAGTAGAGCTGTCTGCCTGGCGCTCCCAGTGACAAGGCAGGCCTGGTCGTGGGCAGGCCTCACCCACACTACTGCTGGAAGTGGAACGTTTCTCCCTGCTACTCCTGTCCTGGACAGAGCTGATTTCACTGTAGGACTTGACATTTGGGGAGGTGACAGCAAAGAGATTTTTTTTTTTTTTGGAGGGAGGGTTGGGACTTGAACTTGGGGTCTTGGTGCTATCTCTGAGCTCCTCCTCTTCTTCTTCCTCCTCCTCCTCCTCCTCTTCTTCTTCTTCTCCCTTCTCCTTCTCCTTCTTCTGCTTCTCCTTCTCCTTCTTCTTCTTCTTGCCAGCACTCTACTACTTGAGCCACAATTCTACTTGTAGCATTTTTTCCCACAGACTTTCCTGCCCAGACAAGCTTCTAACCACCATCCTGCAACCTCAGCCTTCTGAGTACCAAGGATTAAAGATGGGAGCCACTGCACCCGACAGCAGAGAGATAATGTTAAGGATGTCCAGAGCAACAGAGTAAGGCAAGGTTCTGGCCACCCAGTCCCACCCCGCCCTGAGCCTTTTTTCACTGGGGGACTCTCACCTTGGCCAGGGCCTCTGCCTGCTTGGGACTCAGATCTCCAACTCGGCCGCTCATGGTTCTGGTTTGAGCTGGAGGAGCGATGGCCGCTGTGGACGGAAGCCCAGCCTCGTTTCTCAGCCTGGACCCAGCGGGGGCCTTTTGCCCCCACTCCTGGGAGTGGCTCCAGGCACCGCCTTCTGGCCCAACTGTTTGGATTGCACATTACATAATGGGAATTAAGTGAGGTCCCGTGCTTGGCTTGGGGACAAGTCTGGCAGGCGAGAGAGTAGGGGAAGAGGAGGGTGTGTCCACAGTCCCCACCAGGCCGAGGTGTCTGAGAAGAAAAGAGGCTGCCTCTGTGTTCTGGGAGCCCAGGGTGGGTGCCTGCCCAGCCCCCTACCTGCTCCAGACCTCCAAAGACCCCGGCCCGAGGCAAGGGGGAGCTTTAAGGGGACGAGTCCCACACCTAGTGGGGAGCCTTTCTCCCCCAGCCTCAGTTTCCCCATCTTACTGAAAAGTCTCCACACACCTAAGGCTCTCCAAAGATTCTTCTTCCACTAGCTCCAACAATGCAGAAACCAGAGGCTCAGCTAGTCTAGCGATCAATTCCTTCACAGTGTTAGGAGTGGGAAGAGTCAAGACTGGGGGCTGGGGGTGCTCAGTGGTAGAGCCCTTGTGTGCAAGGCCTGAGTTTAATCTGAAGAAGAAGCAGGAGGAAGAGGAGGAGAAGAAGAAGAAGAAGGTGGAGGAGGAGGAGGAGGGGAAGGCAAGGGGAAAGGGGAGGAAAGAGGAGGAGGAGGAGGAGGAGGAAGAGAAAGGAGAAGAGGAGGAGGAGGTGGCAGCATAAAATGGAACTCAAAACATCCTTAGTAATGCTTGTCTTTTTTGGGGTATGGGGGGGATGCTACTGGAATTTGAACTCAGAACCCTGCACTTGCTAGACAAGCACTCTGCTCCTTGAGCCATGCCCACAGCCCCTGTAGCTTTAGTTTGTTTTCCAGATAGGATCTCAAACTTTTGCCCAGGGTTAGCTTTGGACCGTGATCCTCCTATGTCTGCCTCTGGTGTAACTAGAATGACTGTCATGTACTACCATACTTTTCTTTTTGGGGGGGAGGGGGTCCAGTTGTGGGGCCTGAACTCTGGGCCTGGGCACTGTCCCTCAGCTCTTCAGCTCAAGGCTAGCACTCTACCACTTGAGCCACAGCGCCACTTCCGGCTTTTTTTCCTGCTTATGTGGTGCTGTGGAATCGAACCTAGGGCCTCAAGCATGCAAGGCAAGCGCTCTACCACTGAGCCACCTTCCCAGCCCCATACTTTTCTTTAAGATAGGCTCTCACCAGCTTTTTTCCTCTAGTTTGGTTCTCAAGCTGAAATCCTCCTCTCTGTTTCTCAAATAGCTGGAATTACAGGTGGGAGTCACCATACACAGCTATACTTGTCTAGCCCATGAGGCTGACACTACTTTTTCTGATGCCTTTCAAATCTCACCCCAAGCAGCTGGCCTGGTAGACCTCATCATGGGAAACAGCTGCGCACTCATAGTCTTTTCTTCTTATCACAGAAGCCAAGGGAATGAAGGTTCTCATCCCAATCCACGTGTTAGCCTCTAGTTTAGGACTATTTGGCATGCTTATAGGATGGTGAGGGGCATCTATGGGAGGGGAGAAGAAGCTGGTAAGTCATCTAGAAAGGTGGTAAAGGAAATCTAGAAGGTTCCTATGTCCTTTGACTTTTGTCCTGAATTCTTTCTACATTGAGAGAGCCAGCCCTGCCCCCGCCCCCCCTTCCTCATGAAACTACCCAAGGTCAAACTCATTTGTCCAGGATTCTGTCAGCTCCCGATCTGCCCTCCATACCTGTCGCAGGCTGAGCGCATCAAAGGTAATATTCTCTTAACTATTACCTCCCCTTTGATACCATGGGTGCCCTAAATCCTCATGGCTGAAATCACTCCTGGGCTAGCCTCAGCCCTGACAGGCTAGCCCAAGCCATTCTATCCAAGACTCTCCCAGGTCACTACCCCAAGAAAGCCTCCTACATAATCCATCTCAGAGCTATCTCAAGACTCTATGCTGGGCTATCTCAAGACCTCTTTAGGCAAACTGATAGAGGATGGTACCCCATGCTGCCCTGGTACTTTCCTTGATTTGGGAGGGGAGAATTGGTTCTAGGAAGAGAAAGAGGAGCCACCTCTGGCCATTCCCCTCTGCCTGGATCACCTGCGCTATCGCTAGGGATCAGTTAGGTAACGCTCCACACCCCTTGCCGCACCCCACTTTACATTCCAGCCCCTGGGTCCTGCCAGGCCCTGGCTGCCTCCACACCTACTTCCTGCCCTGCTGCCAGCCCGCAGGGATTGGGTTCTACCCCATCATTACCTCCTAATCCGGCCTGATTCCCACCAGGCTCTTTCTCTTCCTAATCCTGCTAATGTGAGGTATCCACTGCCTCTGGAGGTGTCAGAGGGCAGGAAGGAGGGAGGAGGGCCCTGTCAGGGACTCTTCCTAAGCACTTATCCTGAGCAGGGCCACAAATAGGCTGAGGACCTCCCTGTGGGCATGTGTCAGGGCTCTCAACAGGGCCAGGCACCGGACTTCCTGTTACCATGGCCACGTTCCCGACCTGGCCCATCCTGCTGAACATGGTCAGGAATGAAATACGGTTAGCGTTAGAGAGAAACTGACATGATCTGGTCTGCCTCTCTGCCTGCCTGCCTGCCTGCCTGCCTGCCTTCCTTCCTTCCTTCCTTCCTTCCTTCCTTCCTTCCTTCCTTCCTTCCTTCCTTCCTTCCTTCCTTCCTTTCTTCTCTATGACAGTCTTCCTATATATCTCAGGCTGACCTTGAACTTGAGATCCTCCTACTTCAGTCTCCAGAGTGCTGGGATTTTCAGGTGTGTGGTGTGCCACCAAGCCCAGCTTTTAATGTGTGTGTTTTATTTTTTATTACTAAACAGATATATATTAGACATGCAATACTAACCACTTCTCAGATATTTTAGAATACTTCAAAATAATCCCACGCCCTCCGTTAGCCTTACATTTCCATGAAGGGGGTGGGCAGTAACCAGAAACCTGAGGCTTGAACTCAGGGCTTGGACACTCTACCACTTGAACTACAGCTCCACTTCTGGTGTTTTGGTGGCTCATTGGCGATAAGAGTCTCACAGACTTTCCTTCCCAGGCTGAGTTGGAACACAATCCTCAGATCTCAGCCTTCTGAGTGGTTAATATTTCAGGCCTGCAGTGCCCAACCCATGAACTATGGGGTGTCTTGGGGCCCCACAAGATTAATTTTCCCTCCCTGGAAACAAAGATCCTAGGGAAGGAGCCTGCCCTGGCACAAGCCCCATAGCTACACCCTCTCCAAGTAAGGTCCTCAAGTGGTGTTTACCAACTCTTTTGACAAGCTCCCAGGGGACCATGGTGACAATCGCCACAAAAACAAACCATCGTAGGAGACAGAACTGCTTGCTGGGTCTGCCCTCCTTCTAGGACATTACGAAGCCATGCTAAAGGGTCACCCCGGGGCCCCAACGTCCGGCACATTCCTGTTCACCCAGATTTCCATTTCCAATCTCTCTCTTTCTTTGTTTGATTGCTGGTACTGAGGCTTGAATCAGAGCCTGAGCGCTGTACTTTAGCTCTTTTTGTTCAAGGTTTGTTGCTCTACCACTTGAATCACAACTCCACTTTTGGCTTTTTTTTTTTTTTTGGCCAGTTCTGGTACTTGAACTCTGGGGCCTGGGCGCTGTCCCTGAGCTTCTTTTGCTCAAGGCTAGTGCTCTACCACTTGAGCCTCAGCACCACTTCCAGCTTCTTCTGAGTAATTTATTGCAGGTAGGAGTCTCATGGACTTTCCTGACCAGGCTGGCTTTGAACTGTGATTCTCAGATTTCAGCCTTCTGAGTAGCTAGGATTACAGGTGTGAGCCACCACCGGTGCCCGGCTACTTTTGACTTATTTTTGATGGTTAATTGGAGATAAATGTTTCACAGACTTTCCTGACCAGGCTGGCTTTGAAGAGCGATCCTCAGCTCTCAGCCTTCTCAGTAGCCAGGATTTCCAACGTTTCTGACGAATGGTTTGGATGGCCTCCTGACAAAGTTTTGTTGATTTCCCCCTTGACAAATCGATAGAAGCCATTTTATCATTACACCACAGCACAATTTCATTAATAATCTTTTAATACACGTACAGTCATGCATACATACAATCATGAATAGCAAACAGTAAGGAGTCAATTGATAACCTGGCCTTTCCTCAGGACCAAATACCCTGCAGTTACCCACTCCCTATTCCTCAGCCTGGATGGTCCCAACCTGGACCCCTCCCCCCCCATATCCTTCAGTGGAGTTTTCTTAGGCAAAACTCACTTTACTCTCCCTGTCCAAATTGGGTTTCCTCATTGGATGTTCCCCCAGAATTCAGTTCCTGGCCACACAAGCAACACATGTAACATCACCACTGGCTAATTAATGGGTCATCAGAATAATTTCTGCCTCTATCCCTAGGAGCAGTCTTGGGTCAGCTCAGTAGCTCTGGTATTCCAGGCCTGCAGTGCTGGTACGAGTTAGAAACTCAAATGAACAATGAAGACTTAGATGGGTAGATAAAGAAACAAACTTTGGGTAAGTCAGCAGGACCCCCTTTCTGGGTATCTTCTGTTTTGTTTGTTTTGCTGGCACTGGGGTTTGAACTCAGGGTCTCATGCTTGCTTGGATGGCTTGCTTGCTTGCTTGGCTGGCACTCTACCATCTGAGCCATGCCTCCAACCTAGCTTTTGGCTGGTTATTTTGCAGTTAGACTCTCTCAAACTTTTCTGCTTGGGCCAACTTTGAATCACTGTCTTCTAGATCTCAGCCTCCTGAGTCACCTAAGCTTTTTTTGGGGGGGCGGTGTTCATTTTTGTAAGACATTGACAGTGTTCATTTGGACAGGATGGTTGAGGACCCATGGCATGCCCTGCTGGGTTCTCAATGTGTCCCTGCTCACCTTGCGAGAGAGAAGATTCTGTGGTCACTTCCACAGAATAGCCACCTCGGTGATCATTGCTTAAATATGCAGTATGCTATGGCAGCTCTAGAATTCAGA